TGAAATGTGTGTATATTTATTTTTGAGTACTGGATATTCTAGATTGTCCAGTCTCCAAGCCCACCTTTGCATAACTGCTCAAAGATCATCTTACAGCATATGACTCTGTTGGAGTACAGCACAGATTGATGCCCCTTAGCCCATCAGCCAATGTAGCAGTTAAATTATACTAGCACCAGAGACACTAGAAGAGTTCATGTGTCCACATTATTTACATCATTATCTCTCCACAGCATCATCCAAACAGAGCAAAAAGGCTATTTGTGCTTCTTCTAATGTGACCTGTACATTTACCATTTCCTTCACCTCCATTGGAAACTTAGAAAAGTATCTGCTCAGAAATCAGTGTGTTTTTCGTACTTTGTATCTTGTGAACGTTACTCTGGGTTTTTTTTAAGCCAACTGAGCAATACTGTAACTAATGTAACTGTGTAGAGCTTATACATGTTTTCCTACATATTGCAAAGAGACAGATACATGATTTGGGGGTTCATCATGTAATATGTAGGCTAAATAATTATAGTATAGTAATTATAGTAATAATAATTACTGTTTTTCTTAATGGCATGTTTTGTGCCTACTCTGATGAAAAGAAAAAAAAATATACATATATATATATATATATATATAAGTCTTAAGCGTCTCTCTCACACACACACACACAAACACACGCACACACACACATGGTTATACACAGTGGCTATTTCAGTGAGCTCTGGCAGCCGCAGGCCAGCTGGAAGCAACGTAAGCGTAAGGTGATACTCAACAATGCCACTAACTGGCCAGGCCTCTCGTCTGTACACCAGCTATAATGACATTAACATGGCCAAGGCCAGTGCAGAGCCAGGACACGCATGCACGCACGCACACACACGCACACACACACACAAAAAGGAGTCTAGGATCACTTTCAGCTCATAGCGAAATGTCTGTGTCGCTTATGTTTGAAACGAATACTGTGGGACAAAAATACACAAACAAAAAGTGAAATACAGACCCAACACACACACTTAGACGTCATCGCGACTCCCTTTTGAGTGGAATCAGTGCGGGTAATAAATAGCTCAACATTCAACATTACACTGAGATACCATCCACAGCACATGCCTCATTCCCTCCAAGGAAGCTGAATATGTTGTGTTAGTACAGTGTCATAAAACAAAAAAGATTTGGGAAGCGCTTCAAAGTTTCGAAGGGGAGGATTTGAGTAACAAATTTATCCATTGAACTAAAAACTACCAACAAATCCAAGGTAAAGAAAAAGAGCTGGTCTCGCTGCCTCCTGAGGTGGAACGGTTGAGTCACACTTTCAGTATCCAGCAAGTTCCATCCATGAATTGTTTAAGACAGAGCAAAGCTTTTGAGCACTTCAGGAGAAAAAAAAGCACACACACAGACGAAAAAAATGTTACGTCCCAATGAAAAAAATGATGCATTCAAAGCAAAGAGAAAGAGTCTTTGAGCTCCTGTTGTTAGGTAACGAATAACAAACTGACAACAAACAGCGAGGCTTGCTGTCGTCCTCGAACCGGAAACAATTACTTTGAGAGTTTCCAAGTGAGCTTTTTATTAGGAGGCATGCAGCTATAAACCAAATTACTGCATTGCTTTGGTTTTGTTCTTCTAAAGTTGGAAAATATAGAGCTTTAGAAACACGGAGGGTTCTCCTTGCAGCGCACTCACCTCAATCTGTTGAGCGTTTCAAAGTGAAATTTGTGCAAAAACAAAAAAGTTAAAAGCATAAACTTATTTCAGAACACTGGTGGTTTATTTCACTGGACCTGCAGCAGGCAACTCATATTAAATCTTAATAAACAATTTATCAGTATAGGCTGTTGTCTAATTTATATTTATGAGTTTCTCAGTGTTTACTAGTATAATGACTTATAAAAAAAACAACTTGGGACTGAGGATAAGTAAAGCGGAGATATATTTTGCCAGATTTTGAATGTTTTCTTCCTGAAGATGCAAGGCAAACAAGTCCAAAAAGAAAAAAAAGAATCAAAACAACCTATCCTTGGAGTGCACCAATCATGACCTACTTGGGGTTGGTGGGTTCAAAGTCTCCCCCCCTAAAATATTAATGAGTTCTGCTCCTCCTCGTTCTCCTTGTAAGCAACATGGGATCAATTGCACAGCAGAATTGGTCTAATCATGTTCCGTATTTTACTTAATGTTTGATCCTCAGAATTTATGATTGGTTGATCAGACCGATTGAAGATGTTTTGGAATTTGAATTTCCCCCTGGATCTTGGTACAAAGGCCCTGTCTCCTTTCGCCCAAGGGAAAGAGATGAGCTGGGCAAGAGGTGAGTGTGGACAGGGGAATTCCCTGAGAAAGGGCCTTTAATTGGGCTAAAACCCTGAGGCCGGGATCGCCCCTCCAGGGCAAGTGGAGAGCTGAACTCCATTAAACACACATATACACGCACGCATGAACGCACACACTTACACATACACACTAATCACCTCTTCTCTTAAAAAAAACACCCACTCAGTCAAGGCAGGCACACTAACACGCCAAAACCATCACTTGTCATTGGCCCAGCTGCTCCCTCTTCAAAGCTGTTGGCTTCTGGGTGGCCGTGGAGATGAGAGGAGCGAAAAGAAGTTCTCAAGAGCTGCAGCCCGAGCCAAATGACACCAAATATCATCCATGAATATTCTTCAGACTCATGTACGAGCTGAGAAGAAACCTTGAACTCTGAGCCAATGAAATAGTAGAGAAAATGTGACACAGGAGCAAAGAGTTTGTAGACCCACAGAGGTGTGAGTCTCTGTTTTCAAGTTTGTGTTAAGGAGCAGAAGAGAATACTTAATGGATCCTAATAGCTAGTAGGGAGCAATAAAAAAATTATTGTCCAGTTCCCTCTCTCCTTACCACCTTGTCCTTCAGGCTGTTGCTGGCAGTTTATGAAGACAGGTTCACATCTTTTAGTGAATGAAAAAAAAAACACCAAATTTAAAAGTTTGTCTGATAGTGTTGCACCATGAGTGATGTTATGTGCATTGTTAGTAATCTCAATTGGTGGCAAGGTATCAGTATGTTGTTCACGTGTTCTGCATAGTTAGCAAACAGTATTTGACCTCAGAGTCAATGTTCTGTTTCACTCCTAGATTCTTCCAATATGATTTAACAAGACTACTAAGCTTTAATTCTATTTGAACATAAATTAACTCACAAAGTGCCTTTTTCTAATCATTTTTAAATTTTAGTTTATGGTGTTGTAGAGTTTTTGAGTCCTATTTTAATTCTACGCCAATGTATTCCTAGGGCTGGTCCTAAGCCCGGATACATGGTGAGGGTTGTGTCAGGCAGGAGATCCGGCGTAAAATCTTTGCCAAATCAAACATGCAGATGATTAAGAATGAGATTTCCATACTGGATCAGTCAGGGCCTGGTTAACAACAAGCGCCTGAAGTGCTGGTCGCCAACATGGTGCCAGAGGAAACTGCTACTGCTGGCCCAAGACAAAGAAAGAGGAAAGGGGGAAGGCAGTGAGAGACAAGGAAAAGCAGGAGGTGTAAGGATAGCTGGCAGTGGATTTAACCAATGGAATGGAAGTGGCTCTGGTGAACATGTATATCGAGAAGAGGGCAGAGCATTACAAGAGTGGAGGAATGTGCACACAGGTGGGACAACATGCTATGCAGAAGAGATGCAAGAGATAGCAGAATGCAATGTGTTGGCAGGGTAGAATGTAGCTAGACACATTTGGATGGTAGTTTGCAGGATTACTTTGGAAATCAAGAAATGGAAGGAATTTTTAACCACACTGCTCAACACAATCTTTTAAATATACTTATTTGGAACCAGCTTAACACAATCTTGAAGAGTCAGAAGATGCCTTGGAAATAGAGAAAAAGTGTACTTGACAGATGATGTAAGGGGTGGAAGGGTGGAATATGATGTTTGCCGATGATAGTGAGAGTAGGGAGCAGGTGGAAGAGCCTTAGAAGAGGAGAGGACTGAAAGTCATTAGAAGCGAAACAGAAAATAATTAATGAATGAAATGGAGAAACACAAAGTAATAAGGTGATTATGCAAGGAGTGCAGATACCTGATACCTGAGGTCAACCACCCAGGCAGGGTGGAGTGGGTGGAGACGACTGTCAGGGGTGATTTGTGAAAGAAGGATAGTAGCAAGAGTGACAAGTAAGATTTAAAAGATGGTAGTGAGGCCTGCTATGATGTACGATTTGGAGACAGTGGCACTGACAAAAAGCCACGAGGCCGAGCAGGAGGCTTAAGATCCTAAGATTTTCACTGGGACTGAACAGGATGGAAAGGATTTAGAAATGAGTAAATCAGAGGGACAACTCAGGTCGGAAGAAAGTTAGAGAGGCAAGGCTGAGATTGTTTCAACATGTGTAGACGAGGGATTGTGCTGGACAAAGGATGTTGAATATGGAGCGGTCATACAGGAGGAAAGAGGAAGACCACAGAGAAGATTCATGAATTCATGAAGGAGGTTATGAGAGTTGGTGTGACAGTAGAGGATGTCAGAGAGATGGAGTCCTATCTTCCTCTTTGTCCCTGCTAAATCATTTGTTGATGCTTGTAGTTATGCTGCTTGTGGTTTGTGTACGGTCCTTGTTTCCAGTTTGTTTGTACTCTGGATTCCTATTTTGTTTATTTCATTTATTGCATTAGCCAAAGACCGCTTTGGGGTTTTTTGGGGGTTTTTTTTTTTTTTTATATATTTGTGTTGAATTAACAGTGCTGATTTTATAACCTTAAAATCTGAAAAGGTATGACTGGAATTGTAGCCAAAAGTATTGAGTATTGAAAAAGAACTGAAAAGTTTATTTAGTTATTTAGCAAATCTTTATGTTATTTATTTGACAGTATTTTAGGACCAGAGCCAAAATTTCTTTTTTAGAAGAAAAGTAATTGCTATGAAACTGCATTCAGTTCATGTAACTCTTTCAGACCTTATCAGTAAAACGTGTGTGTGCATCCTATTATGCATCCAGATGTGACCTGCATGTCCTTCTAACCTTGTTGCCGTTGTTGAGGTTCATGCTGCTGAGGGCAGATAGCTTTGCTTCCAGACTCTGGTGTCCTGGCTGCTGCTGCTGTTGGTGGAGCTGCTCCCTCTGGATCTGCTCCCTCATGCTCCTGGCCTCTTGGATGGCCTTCATCACTGCATCCTGGTCCCCAAACAGTGCTGTGGAGTTGAGACTGGACAATATGTCTGCAGGTGGAGAACAGACGAGAGACAGTCGTATGTCACTTAGACTGGCAATACAGCATCGGGGACATGTTCGGGTAGCATAAAAATGAATTGCACACATTTAATACTCTTCTGGCTCTGATGTGAATAACCACTGAAAAGAAAAGGTTATGTCCTTTTTTGACACTTTGTGTAGGGAAAGGGATTTGCAATCAAGCATACATAAATAAACAGATAACTTTTATGAATATACCATACGTACAAATGTACTGGCCTACCTACAAATTGCCAACAAGAGCTGCTCAGTCATGGAAATCCATGCCGTGAAGTTCCCAGCTCACAGACTTTGTGCTGACGTTAATGTCAGAGGAGGTTTGGAGCTCTGCAGTTATTGAACAGGGACGCAAAAACCCAGATCTGTAATTTTACGTGGTCTGCCACTTCGTGGCTGAGTTACTGTGGTTCCTACACACTAGCACTTTGCAATCATACCACTTATAGTTGATCGTCGAGTATCTAGGACTTAGAAAAATTCACAAACTGGCTTGTTGCAATGGTGGCATCTTACACACATTACCACATGTGGCTAGGAGCTTGACTTTATACACCTGTGGAAATAGGACTGAAAAGACCTGAATTCAAAGATTAAGAGGTGTGACCCAAGACTTTTGTCCATATAGTGCGCTCATATTTGATCTGTGCTATTACCCAGTGCTACAAATTTCTATTTGAACAAATCAGACTCTTTAGAACTCAGTTTAGTGCTTTTACTTTACTTCGTAAGATTCTACTGATACTAGAATAGAAAGTGTAAGTCCTTATAGTCAAACGTTCAGAAAGGCTGAATACAAATTCCCATTAAATAACATTTCAACTGTATAAACATGAGATTTCCAATCTTATATCAGCTCCAAATGTTGTTCAAGTTTTGTTCCAGGCCATTTGTGTCAAAACATGACTGAGCCTCCTCCCGCTTGTTTAAGCACCACGCTTCACACTTTTGAAGCCGATGCACATTTGAAGAATAAGAGGAAATAAATAAATAAAAGGATGCAAAGTTTCCGTCGCCCTCCTCATTTAATTAGCAGACAAGTAGGAAGCACTGTATGCTTGGGTGGCCGTTAAAATGGGCAAAAAATAACTTTGCAGGAACACAAGCGTCGCGTCCTCAAAGCCACTCCAGACAAGCTGGTGAAATTGTTTTCTGGGGGGATATAATGAGAGGCTTTAGATTGGCCTTAATAACAGATAGCAGAGGTAGGGGCATAAAAGGTCTAGCGCGGGCAGACAATGATGTGAGGAAGCTCTTAAAAACCAAATAACGTGTGCTGGGTTTCACTGCTTCCGCTGCCAGGGTTTTCATTGGGGCTAAATACAGGGCTTTGGACTCCTGTAAAATACAAACACACACACAAAACACACACATACACAGGTCTCCTCATGGGGTTTAGGTGTCTGCAGCCTATCAGGCACATGCGACGCTTCTTGGTTTGTCTGTGGGTGGCTGTGGGAGTGGGAGGTGTTTGGGTGGGTGATGTTTTTGTTTTTCCGGCTAAGTTGAAGGCAAGGTTTTTTTTTTTGCTCGACGTGTTTGCTTTGGGCGGATGTACACTGCAGATGTGAGCGATACATTCGTGCACAAATGCATATTAGTGTTGGTTTGTGTGTGAAAGAGAATCCATGAGCAAAAGTACATCAGTGTTTCGCCTCAGTGTTTTTTCTTTGCAGCATTTACTCTGTGTCATTGTAATTGTAGATGAGTGTAAGGCTAGTGTTATTGAATGTTAATGAAATGTAGCAGTGCTAGTAGACTGGGTGGCCCACCCCAGCTAGCCCGTGGTGTTGTTACCTACCCAGGGAGGTGTTCCGGCCCATGCTGGGAATTGGGCTGGGGATGCGGCCTTTGCCCATGCCTGTGGGGCTGGTCTTGTTTCCAGAGAACAGACTCTGTGTTGGGGATGTCGGGGAGCGAAGAGGTTCAGCTGTCTTGGGTCTAGCTGAGAGGTTCAGTGGCTGTGTGGATCCTTCCTCCTGTTAATGAAACAGGTGCAGCATCCATTTATACAAAGTCCTTTCAACAGGGGCTAAATTACTAAATTAGGGTTAATAAAAAGGCTGTAAAGTAAGCGTTAGAAACTGATATAAAGCTGAGCAAACCTGCTGATGTTCTGCAGTGTTACTTGAAGAGCCTTTGGTGATCCTTAAGTTTTTGGCCTTTAACCTGTTAGCGGTCGGACGTACCGCCCACGGTACATTGGATGGTTTAGGGGACTAATTGTAAATTTGTAGGACTGCTAAGGGGTTAATAAATGAATTCGACCGATCAGCTCTTTAAGCCTCCTTACTGCATATAAACAATGGTACATTTGTTTGTGTGATTTCTTATTTCTGATCAGATCTTCATGACCACACTAATCCACATAAAGAATTCTTGGAAAAGGAAAAATAGTAGCATAAAGTAAACTTCAGCACGCCAGCACAGTCTGACTGCGGCTGTTTTGTTGGCAGAAAACACTTAATGAACGTGGCTCTAATTTGGAGTTGAGCCGCAGCTGAGGAAGTTTTGAGAAGGGAAGGAGCACAGAATGAGCTTTCGCGTGGGGAAAGGGGGTAAGTTGAGATGCGGGTGGCGTGCTGAGGGTGGGATGAGTATGCGTGGGGTTTGCTATGGAGGATGAGGAGTTTGGAGGGCACGACACTACTGTTTGAGTGCGGTGAGCTCCGACGCCGGTCTATTGTGACGCCGGTTGCAGCTGTGCCCCACACACACACATGGCTTCCATTACTGCCTCGTCACCGAGTAAAGATCAGGCGTACGCTGCCAAACAGCAGCCAGCGCCAGTGTCAGCTTGTGAGTGCACATGTGTTTGTGTGTGCATCAGCCTGTGACATTTAAATAAGCTGTTTCTAATTGACAGTGAAGAGCACAGGGGCCAATGCACAGCTCATTGTTTCAACAAATTCCATATTTCCAGCTTTCACTTTTACTTTCAGTGACCATCAACATTAGTATTACAACATTCGGAGCCCACTTTTTACTTCTTCTATTATGTTGTCTCCGAATTTATCACCATATTTCCCTGCACATACCCATAACATGAAAAGTCTAATTCACTATTGTAGCAAAAGTCAGCAAAGCCATTTACACATATTTAAATATAACATCATCAAGAGAACACACAAGAAGCTCTCGGTACATCTAGACCGGCTCTATTCTCTTGGCAGCGCGCACTCATTTAACAACATTTGAACAAAGTACCTACCTTAATCTGAGAGACAGGGCTGGATGCTCGCTTCTCGCTCTTGAGGGTGGAGGGAGAAAGAGGACTGGAGGAGTTGGGAGCTTGTGGGAGGGGAGCCATCTTGGCTCCTGGTGAGATCTGCATGCTTGCCAGCTGGGCGGCATACAGCTGCTGCAAAAAAAGGGAAGAAACCAGCAAAACCGACAGGCTATTAACATCGCGCGCCAGCAGCTAGTCAGTGGCTTTCCTCTTTCATTCTCTCTCCTCTTTTCTTTTTCGTACACACACACGCGTGCACACACACACACACACACACCCTTGATCCTGTCAATTTTATTTATTTATTTATTTTGGTTTATCCTTTCCCTGGTACTGGCTGCATCCTTTGAGCCAAAGACACACTGTAGTTAGATGGAAACAGGCACGCACACACACACACACACATCTACATCTGAAGTTGACAAGAGCATCCCACACAGATGTAAGATTTGTTTGAGGTATTATTTATCAAGGAGGGATTCCAGCAAATTATTTTTTTATGCTACATTATCTGCAGAACTTTTCTAACAGTTATTTTTTCAACAGATGCTTGGAGCAGCTTGCACATAGATCAGCATCTTTCAGCTTTTGAATAGGAAACAAATGGTACCTATTCTGAAGTTAGGTTTAATAGCCTTGCTTCGGTTTTACTTGTAATAAAAGGTTGGTATTGTCCTGATGTTTTAATGTTTAGTCTTGGCTTTCTTAGCAGAGGAATAACAAGTCAAATAATGTAAAATGAGATTAGGAATATTATATGAGGAACTGCTTCATGGGTCTCTAACTAATCTTGTCACCTCTGGTTTGTTCTTGCATTAATGCTTCAGGCAATTTCTTTACTTACTTTAATCCAAAGCAAGACGACAGTGGCTAATCAGATTTAAGCAGGTGTTCATAGTTTACACCTTGGACCAGTGTTTCAATTGAAAAAATCCTTGAACATGGCAGAGAAATAAAAAAAGAAAACCCTCAAAGTAAAAGCCTTTAGTGTTGGATGAAAACATTAAATGACAAAGGGGAAAAAAGGAGAACTGACTTTTCATCCAAGGTACTTAGCAAAAATCAAAGAGTCAAATACTCGGCCCACAGTCCAGGGTCTTCTAAATCAAAGCTAACTGGCCAGACAAACCACTGCCTGAAACCACTGTCAGCCCCTGTCTAAATGCATTGGAGTGTGAGTGCTGGAGTATCAAAGAGCCTGTCCTTAGGAAAACCACCCAGACGTGGCTGGCCTTCAGTAGATTCCCTCTTTTCTTTCTGACTTTTTTTCTCTTTTTTGCTTTCCTCTCATTTTTCATTACTCTCACCTCATCTGTACTCCTCCCTCCTTCTACAGTTCTGTCTTTATTTTGTCCCGCTTTCTTTTGATCTCCCTTTGACTCTCTTCACTTGTCTTCTGACTCTTAGTTTAGGTCCAGAAATCATTTCTCATATCTTTCCACCCCATCTCCAGCTCTGTTTTTTTTCCCCTTTCTTTCTCTGTTTTTACCTTCTGCCCCCTCAGCCTAAATGACCCCCAGTGTTGTGAGATCTGATTTCCCTTCAGTCAAAACTGCAAAGCCTCCCGGGACCAGAGATCCAAAGTAAAGAAAGCACAATGGAGAAAGAGAGAGAAGGACAGAGTTTTGCAACGCAGACACACGAGACCACCGTCGCTTCACCGCCAAAGCGCCAGGCTCAGCAGTTGGGGCCAGAGAAATTGGCTGGCCCTCTCTCCACTTCTCTCAGAGCGATATTAAACACAAACAGAAGGGGCCTCGCCGCTGAAACAAAGCCCTGATGTCACGCCGCTTATTTTCCTTGGAAGGTACCGGGAGTGCTCGGTCCAACCCCTGGCGATATGAGATCCCTGTAAGAATGTGCCTTGAATGACTGGTGGTGAGGCCTCTCGCGTCAATCAAGCCGACCACAGAGTTACTTCTGGTGATGCCTGATATTCTTACAGCTCTAAGGGGAGCAGGGGCTGGGGCAGACACATGAGTCCTTGAGGTAAAACACACAGTTAGGATCTCACACCCATGTCTGCACAAACACACACACACGCAGTGCTTTTTTCCCCCACAAACACACCCACAGCTTTTGTGCTGCGAGCAGCGATTCTGTCAACGGTTACAAATATGAGGAGGGAACTGTTGAACAAACAACAGACTGACAATAAGAGCTTTTACCTAATTTTTTTTCTCTGCTTCTTCAAGACACTCAGAGATTGATTGTGTACTGGGGAAACCAATCTGCAGCGTAAACAACACCAACCAGAGTTCCTGCCATTCAGCCAACTCCCGAGGGAAGACAATGCTGCAATTTCCTAAATTGCAAATTGACAAAGAGGGCCTCGAAGTGTGTCTCAGCTGTCCAGACTATTTGACTCTTTGGATATCAGTGCCCATTTGACTAAAATCCAAATCATTAGTCTGTCACTCTTCACACACGTGATTATTAGCATTTTTGCTTTCTCTTTTTTTGGAGGGGGGCTACATCACTGTAATTCGTTAGAAAACAAAGAGAAGGTGATGATGTTTTGGGTGTCTGCACCTCTGTTTGGACTATCAGATCGTAGTCCACCAGCAGCCTCCTCCATGCTCAGACTGCTCTGTCCCATTAGGGCTGAGTGGAGACTCCCTTCAGCTGGCCTCTTTTAGTGTCCAGCTGCTATTGATCTCAGGAGTGCAAAAAACAAATGAGGTTTTGTCTTTTTTTCAGCAGGTTCGTTTGTGTGTGTGTGTGTGTGGGGGGGGCATGAACTGCACTGACTATCACTGAGTCGGCCCGGACAGAGGGCAGACTCTAAATATTGCACTTTTGTGTTAAAAAAGATGGTAAAACAGATAGAAAGAGAGACGGGCTGCATAAAGACCTCTGGTTCTCGCTTTTATCAGTCTGTATCAAACATGTTTCTCGTGTATGACAGAGGTCATTCACGCTTTATGTACAGTGTGTTGGCAGTCGGGCAGAAATCATTACCAGGGGCCACATTAAGTTTCCTCACCTTTGTGTCCGTGCCTAACACTCACTAAGCATGGAGACACAAAGCTAGAGATGTCTTATGATTTCAGCAAGAATGTCTGCTAAGCAACTGTATGTCCCTCGCATTAGCGGCACACAAAGAGGGCCTTTCTTCAGCAGAAATCTACTGTTGTGAAGGGTCTATTGCAATGCTCTGGAAACAATTGGATGGATCAAGTTCCCACGCCAATAGTGGAACATTTGTGCTATCAGAATTGGTAGGTCAGTTCATGATGGGTCAAGGCTTGCTTAACAGCCTTTACCAGACAGCTTAGTAATGCAGATTTAGATGATTTATAAAGGTGTATAGATATAGATATACAATATAAAACTTTTCAGACGGCACTTTCTGATGGTGACTTTTCCTGTGTGAAATTATTCTTTCTGACCTTCAGTGCCAGCCAGCTGTTTGAATGAGGGCTACAGGGTTCAACTTTGAAACATCTGGAGCAGTCTGACTACAACATCTGTCTATCCTGAACTGAGCATCGATTTGGCATTACAAATGTTTGATGCCAGCTGGTGTGTTTTGACTACAGTATGTAGCAGAGGAGGTTGATAACACAGAACAAATACAATATCATTGTCTGTTTATAGTGCTAACACGATAATGCACAGTTTCCCTTTTTCACAGTTAAAGCTGCATCCAGACTAGAACTGATTTGCCTGTCGTGCAGTACTTTAAACCTGACAGCTGGTATCTGGCTACCCAGGTAACCCTCTAATGTATTTACTACAAGGTCACATGTTAATTAGTGGCATCCTGCGTTTTCAGTGGTGGTCGCTTCAGTCGCTTGCCTGCAAGTTTATCTATGGTCCCGCTCACTTCGCTGTGCCAGTAGTTATCTGTAGCCATTGTAGGGAAGTGCCGTTTGGTTTATATAGTCTCTGGTTGCTACGTCACTCCTGCAAATTTACTGAGACTATCTAAAATTAATAGAATAGGTAAGGCCTCAGTTTGTGGCCTGTCAAGACATCACATCAATTTTACAGTAAATGTAAAATTGATGTGATGTGAAAGAGTAAAAGTAACTACTGTAACCAAAGATAGATTCATATTTTATATCCATACAGATTTTTAATGTATGCATCATCATCATCATAGGTGATGGTAGCAGTAACAGCTGCTCAAATGCAAATATGGATCGATCACAACAGGACAGATGAGCAACAAAATGTGTCAGCTGTCACTGCTGGATGATCATATGTTCACTGCATATTGAAATATTGAAAGCAATATGCTGCAATGTTAGGAAGAGCATCAGAAAGCTGCAGCTTATATACTGAACGCGAATACTGCAAATACACCCAGGTCTTGTAAAAATACTAACTGATATCATAACACTACGCAGGTCTTTTTGTACATTCTGCAGCCCATGTTACTGCCCCAAACGGTGCACCTTAAACATTTTATTGATGCAAATGGACTAACTAACAAGACAAGTACCATTATTAAATCTCATCATCAGGATTTCTTTTGACATTATTGTCAAAACAATATTCAAATATGCTGGAAACCAGCACTCCATCTCCTAAAAAATTCCTCAAATAATTGTTTTTTCCCAGCCTAAATACTTCCTCGGTCTCGCTGCTTTTTTTCTTTTTTTCTTGGCAGTCTCTGACTTGTTTTCAACCGATGCCTTGATGAGAAACTTCCTCTTTCATTCAGATTGCTCTCTCTGCCTCTTATTCTCTGTGTCTCAGGCAGTGTCTAAACGTGAATGAGTTTGCGTCTCTGACATCACTCATCCTCTTACCTCTCACTCACCGTACAGCTCTTTTGATAATTTCAAAGCCAGGAGAGGAGCCAGGAGTGGAGCCGGGAGGCTCCGATCCCCTCAGCGCAGCACGGCGCTTTGCTAAGTCAATAGCGGCTAATGAGGGCCTCGATAAGCGAAAACCACAATACAAATTGAATAAACTGGGATAAGGATTCTTGTTATATCCAAAAGGCACGCTATGGTAACAACTGACATGATGAAGCAGTATTGTTTGCCAGTGAAAAAGCTCGTGAGGGCTTTTGTTTTTTCAGCTGACGGTAGGTAAAGCAGGAAGTGTTGATGATGTGTGATGTTATGTTGTGAAATTCCAAAGCATCTTTAGGGAGTCGAGGTTTTCTTCGTTTTTATTTCACTGATTTGCCCGCTCCCCTGGAAATGTGCTCTGTGATAACCATTATGGATAAGTGCTATTCTCAAAGCACGTGTGTCAAGCAATAAAATATTTGATGAATTGTGTGGGCCAGGTGTTGTGCTGTTGGGTTGGGAATTCCTCTGTGATTCATCATAACAGCTTTTGTCTGCCACAGCTGACAAACAGCGGATAAGAGGGCTAGCATTTTGGCAACCTATGGGGCATCATCTTCAACCAATGTGTCACGTTGCTTTATTGAAAAAAAGAAATCAAATGTACAGGAACTCTATTAAAAGTATGAAGAAAGCTCCTGTTCCAGCTTCTGTTTGTATTTCAAGTTCTTTTAGAATAATGATTTGAGCTTGTATGGAATTTTTTTGGAGGTAGTTGTGAATTTTTTAGAGAATAAAAAAGGTGGGAATTATGGTTAGGTTTATGAAAAAGCAAAATCAGAAAACAAATAATGGCAGCAGACAAATTACTGTGGTTGCAGGTAATTCGTTTGCTTTATTTTTTTAAGGTCAGGACCTACAAGCTGCACAGAGGACACCTCCAAGTGTGGCATTTCTCTCTTTCTCCCAGTTCTTTTGATAACAGTAGACCTTCTGTCTGCTTATTTAACTATGCAGCCATTGTACGTGAAGTTATCACTTCACATGCAAAGCATCTAGTTCTTTTCTATATTGTAGCTTTTGCCAGAGGCTCTTCCAAGGTTAGGTCTACCAGACACTCAACAAGTTGCACAATAGCCTTGGCTTCTTACTCATGACGTTCAAAACAGAAAAGATTTCAAGCTAGATATAGATTAATAGACTGCTGTGTTCTCTAAGACCGCAATTGATGGGAAGTATTAAATTTTTTTATTTTAATCAACATGTCATGTTATATTTTTTTCTCATTTGGAGTCTTTTTTAAATTTATCTTTTGGTGTTTTTCTTTCTGTTCTTTATTCCTTCTCACTAGACCCTCTCCTGGGTTAAAAGAGGAAACACACAAACAAGGCAGAGGTGTGTCATTCAATACACATCAAAAGTGCATAAATGATTTACATATTTCACTCAAAACCCATCTGAATACCACCAGCCCCATTTCTAACCCATCCTAAATAACAGCAAATAGATTCATCTAAACTACTCAGCTAGTTCAATTTTTGCTCTCATCTCAGCTGCTGCTTTTATGTACCTGTCAGTCAGCACTCTGGTATGTTCCCCTAAATGGCGAACAAACAGTCACCCTTTTTTTCTTTGTCTTTTTTTCCAGACGTCATACTTCTGCTGCAGTTGTTTAACTGATTTTTAATGCATTCACTTAAAGACTAGACACAGACTCTGTTCAGTGACTGAATTAAAAGAATTATTAGTGGCACTCTGAAAAAGTATACAGCACAAGTTGGACAAAAACATTTTAATCATGTCATGTCAAGTAAAGTCAGACCTTTGACAACAAAGGCAATAAGATGTTTGAGTGTGCGGGAGGTTTCACATAATAATACTATTATTAACTGAATCCAGGTGAAAATGAAGCATATCTTACAGAAAAACAGTCACACCCACCAACTTCCACACCCTCACTTTTCATCACTTCATTGTCAGACAGCCTGTTTCTGGTCTTGTTTCAAGTATGTGATCATTTTGTTCTGGTAAGCCATTACTCACGTGTTTTACACAGTTTTAATTTAGAGGAAAAATATCTCTCTATATTCCAAGTAGTATTAAATCACACACACACATTTTTGCTTGTTTGTTTTGATAAATTAGTTTGTGTCTTACCTGTAGTTGTAACGGGCTGAGTCCAGTCGCTGCTGCAGCTGCCATTGCAGATGGAATGAACTGCATTGGGTAATTCTCACCTGTTGAATAACCAAAACAACACATATTGTAGAGCGAGGTCGTGGGGGGTGTACTGCACAAGAACTAACCTGCTCTTTACCTTCAGTCAGGCCTCTCTGTCTCTTTCGCTCTGTCTCGCTCTTTGTCTCCTTCCTTACTCTTCTCATGTTTTTATTCATGCCAAATGAACCACGAAGGGTCACAGAAATTTTATTCAAAGGTTATTAACGCTTGCTGTCGGCACACTCGAGTGCTTGAGACCAGAGCGAGCAGAGTTCAAGTCCAGAGCTTCCTCATTGTGATGCACTCATAAATTCATATATGAGTATGTGTATAACCCCTACTGTTTGTCCTTAAAAGGCTTTCCATGTCCAAGCCTTTGTTGAAAACAGACCAATGTCAAAGGAGAGTATACAATAATAGCTTTTTAATCCCTTTCTTCATTTCTGCCTCTCTTTGCGGCCTCACGGGAGTGAATGCTCATGCAGTAGGAGTAATATTCGTATGACGGGTCAGTGCTGTACTGTGTCAGGCAAGCACCTGGAGGGATGTTTGCAAGAAAGGAATGTGCAAAAGACTTGATGAAAGCAGGTGGTGCAGACAATCCAATGAAGTGCGGTGCATTTCTTTCTGTGGGCGACTTTAAGTGTTTTTTCTTGAGCCTGTTTGTGCAAAATCCTTATGGTCTGCCGAAACATGCAGTATGCATGCCCTTATTTAAGTGCAACGTACGTGATTTTTCTGAGTGCGTCGCCCTTATGTCTATATTGTTGGGTTGGTGTGCAAAAGGTGAAAACTCTTGGGAGAAAGAGACAGAGAGGCAAAGCGTGAAATTCCATGTTGCAATACATTGGATCTCTGCGCTAATTTTCAGAACATTCCTCACCTGACACATTTCATTAACATAGACTGGGATTCCACTGCATGTGTGTGTGTGTGTGTTTGTGGTGGGGGTGGGGTGGGGTTATACCTGGCTTATAGGACATGCCTGGTGGGAAAAGGAAGCCTTGCTGTGCTGCGGCAGCTGCAGCCAGAGACCGCTGGTCGTGAGGAAACACTGGTATCATCAGAGGAGGCATATGACCCTGGACCTGGGAGAGAGAGACAAGAGATGAGAGATATCTGCCAACTGCTGTATTCATTAAATAATACTGACACACAGACACAGATTCACAGACAACAACAGCAAAAAAGAGCTCCAAGATTTACCAAAAAACTCAAAGATTTTTAAAGAAGAATAAAAATCATGAGCAATGATAGAAAAGGCAGATGAGAAACGAGAAAATCGCAAATAAACAAGGTAAAGAGGTAGAAACAAAAGCAATAAAATAAAACAGAAAGTCAGCAGAGAGAAAGAAAGAATGATTTAAAATGAGAAATCACAAAGGAAGGTTAAAGTGAGGAACGATAAAGATCAGGATGAAAGGAAGGGGAAGACAGGGAGAAGGGAAAAAACAATGCAGGCAATGACATGATCAACTGGTGCATCGAGTTGAAGAACAGAAGCCAAACAACAAATTAAGACGTATACTCTTAAGAGACAAGTGTAAAGATGCCAAGAAAAGGCCTTTAAAACAAGAGAGAGGTTAACAGCTGCCTTTCATGTCAGCTTGAAAGGCTCTTAAAATCTGTGGGTTTGACTAAGTCAAGACGCCGAGGGCTTGAACTGAAAAGAAACAAATCAAAGATGAGCCTGCGGGAATCTATTAGGGCTGACTGTGTTAAACCACCGGACGACCCCACTTTCTTTCCTTCTATCTCTTCCCTTTATTGCAGTCTTTTCTCTTTTTGCATTTTTTTCCTCTGGTTGCCTCTTCTTTTTCTTAAAAAAATGCCCAAGGATTGTTTGTTCAAATGGCTTATTAAGAAATATAATTTCTCTCTTTATATCATTAATAGAGCTCTGGAAGTTACTGGATAACTAATGTTTTAAGTTTAAAAAAATAATAAAAACAAAAACCCTTGAAAAGGAGAAAGGAAGAAAAGAAGGCAATGTCAAAAAGCCAAAGAGTCCATATTAGGGAGGTCAAAAATCAAAGTCAATCAAATAAATGTCTGATAATAACTAAGTTTACTATTAATATTACTATATTTTCTTCTCTGTGATTGATTCCTCAATTAATCAACTTGTGAGGGAAAAAAATCTCAAAGTTTCTTGTCATTTCATGTCTGCTCTTCATTATTCTGGCTTTATCCTGTTTTCAACTTTTCTTTTGTGACTATGTTACACTTTCAGATAAATGTTTTTAGACACTTCCCTCCTCCTTCCATTTCCCTCCTCACTTCAATGCCCTCTACCTCCATTTGTCTCCTTTACTACCAATTCATTGACAACGCTGCCCTCTCCCCTCCCACTGACCTCCCAGGGAAGGTTCATCGCTGGAGCTCAAGCATACACAAGCAGCATGTCGCATGATTACTGTGCATATGTGCAGCGGGATTGCCTTGCTGAATTAGTTGAATAAGATGACCGTCTTATGCGTTGTTCGTGGTTAGTGTGGATGGATTGAAAGGCTTGAGGTAGAAAGGTTCAAAGTTCCATAGAGAAGGAAAGAATTATTTCTGAACTTACTGTGTTTGCTCAGGCGATTAATTGATCAACAGGAAGTACGTGGACAGATTTTTTTTTATATATACTTGATTAATGCTGAAGAGCATTTTGCTCCTCAGAAATGCTCTCAGAATTCATGAGAATTTTCTGAGAAGAGTTCAAAACTCTTTTTTATCATTGTTAATTGGATATCAACTGGCTTTGGGCTATTGAGTAAACCAAATAGAAATACACTGCTTTGTCCATTCCATCCATCCTCTTCCCCTTATCCAATTCAGAGTCACATGGGTGACTGGAGCCTATCTCAAGTGCCACAGGAAAAGATGCAAGCTAGACTTCAGACCGGTCACCAGTCTGTCGCAGGACTAACACAGACAGACAGACAGGCAACATTTTGCACTCACATTTTCACCTACGGTCAATTTAGAATCACCAGTTGGTTTAAAAGTATATAATTGGTTTAAGAGCAGGCTTCTGCGCACCACTTCAGACAACTACATGGAACAGAGCCGTAGTGCAGCAGCCCTGGTTCAAGTCTGACCCGTGGCCCTTTTCTGTGTGTCTTCCCCTTCTCTCATCACTGTCCTGTCTATCTTCACCACTACACTGTATAATGCTCAAAAATGCTCAAATGTGTGTGTCTCCACACATAGCCCTGCCAAAACAGAGCATGAGCCACCAACTTGCATGCTTGGTCTGGTATGTGTGGAGCTACAAGTGCCACCTGAGCAGCTCCTCTGACAGCACTGATAGGTCACACAGATAAAAAGCCTGATATCTCAGGAGGCAGTCATCACACACACAAGCAAACACACTTGTAGGTCAGTGTACTTTTGAGGCATTCCTATAAACACATGCAGGCAGACAAGAGGGCCGACGTCTTGTGACACAGACAAAAGAGAATGAAGAGAGAAGAAAAACAAGTCTGTGTGTCCGAATGGCTAAAAAAAGAAGGAAAAGAGTGAAGTTGGGGGGTGTAGGTTATAGAGTGGGACAAAATGCCCCCATTCATTGTATTCCTCTGGGAACACTGGGACTGACTGGGGCTGCTTCACTAGCGCAAACACACAAAGATCTCCTTTTACCAAGGGGAGGGGGGGGGGGGGGGGGCAGGGGCCCCCCTCTGCTCAGCCACTAAGAAAACACGAGGTCCCCTTCCTCTAACTGCCCACCAGACACATCGACATACACACCTAGGCAACAAGGAACATGTGTACACACGCAGACACACACAGAATTAATGGTCCTCTTGTGTAAGGGCAGCAAGGTTAGGGGGCAATGAGTATGTATGTGGTCTGTCTGTACGCTGATCTGTTTGAGAAACAGAGAAGACAAAGAAACATAGTTGCCTGATTGCAGCAGGTATGCACAAGTGGATTTGAACCAGTGCGACACTAAACTTGACATTCACAGCATCATCCACCGCTGCAAAGTATGCATGTAAAGTATGTAACCAACTGAAAAACATTAAGTCCTGAAGATTTTGGTGATGTTAATCTTTGAGTCAACTTTAAAATGAACAAGGAAGAGCCAAATCAATATGTTTTTATTGTTATTTTTAAACTTAGGTTTAACATACTGCACATCATCTCACTACCGTTCTGTCAATATTTAATCTTACCTTATAAATATTGCAAAAATATTTCCACCACTGTCCAGTGCATCCCCAAAACAGGCTTAATGTGTAGAAAATTGCACACTGATGTTACTGCATAATACAATAACTGCAGGTTACTGCAATTACTGTAATTTCTGGCATCATTTGGGAAAATTTCCTGCAACAAAAGCTGCTATTCCAGGACTGCCAACAACTGCCTACAAATTAAATTAAAAGAGGATCGACTTATCAAAAAGGCATGCTTAAAGAAAGACAACACTTAGTTACAGCCAGCAAATATGGCTTCAGAGATGCAAAATAGCTTACACAGAGAATAAAACTATAAAAAAAACTGGGGGAAAAATACTCGCTGAAACACATAACCACACATATAACAAACTCTACAAGAAGCAAGTGCTACAGCACATGTACACACACACACAAACACACACGCACACAGTAATTAACCATAGGCCTCGAAGAATAGGAAAGTTTTTGAGTTTGATTTAGAATGTGGAAACAGTTGTGATGGACCTCAAATCAGCACACAGCTCCCTTCAGAGAGCAGGACCACAGTAAAGTGAAAGCACCCTAACCAGACTTGGGTCTAATTCTGGGCACTACTATATATTCTCATGGACAAGCTCCTAACCTAATTTTCCTGTAACATCTGAACGTGTTGCACCAGCTGAATAGGTTATAGGTATATTTACTATGAAAGCAAGTAGTTAGTGACTATGTCGAATATTTCTAATAGCTCCGTTTTCAGCCAACTAACAGTGTCACACTGTGGTTCTGGCTAATTCACTTCTGTGTCGGTATAGGACAGATAACTGTGGGGGTAAAGGCTGGACTTTAAAAATCCCGATTTATACTGAATGCAGTTTTAATCAAATGATTTAGTGTAACAAAAGTTTCACTAACATAACTGAGAGCTAACCAAGTGTGAAGCTCATCAGTGGCTATAGCTGGTTTTGGACAATGTTGTGCTTCATTTGGATTATCCAGCTGATATACAAACTCAAGTTAAGATTATACATTATGATTTATATATTACGAAAAGTAGCAATTTTGTTGATGATTTGTTAGCTATAGATACTTGAGGAGCTAATGGTGCATTACAAAGGACCAAATATCAGATCACAACGTGGTGCATCACTCCTTAAAACGAAAGCTGATCAGTAGCTAAGGTGGCCCTGAGAGGCCAAACGGACTGCAATTTAAGAAAACACCAGCAATAAGAAAAACGCTGCAAAAGCACACAAAACACAACCCAAATAGGAAAAAACGAGAACAGAAATAGGAAAAAACAGATTTCCAAAAGCACAAGGGAAGTGTTTCTGGGGAGACAATAACCCGACGGACCAGTTGCAGGAATCATGCTAAGAATTGCGCTGGGAGACACTTAAAAGAAGTGGAGGATCTATCGGTTTTGTGAGGAAAGAACAGATGAGCGGTAAGTATGTTAACCTAACTATTAGCCTAAAAATCCGTCACCAGTATCATATGAATCATGATAAAACACACCTACCATGTTTTGGGTTCCTGCAACTGGTCCGTCGGGTTATTGTCTCCCCAGAAACACTTCCCTTGTGCTTATGGAAATCTGTTTTTTCCTATTTCTGTTTTCATTTTTCTATTTCTGTTTTTTCCTATTTCCATTGTGTTTTGTGTGCTTTTGCAGCCTTTTTCTTATTGCTGGTGTTTTCTTAAGTTGCAGTCCGTTTGGCCTCTCAGGGCCACCGCATGATAGAGTTTTCCAAGGTCTTTTCATTACCACCTGGTTGTTGTGCATGCTTAAAAAAAGTTAGGGTATACACAACAGTTTTAAAGCTGTCCATAAACTGCCTTTTTGAGACAGGGTGTATCACGTGATAAATGCAGAAGTGGGGCTAACACAGTTTGGCCTCCAAGCCAAAATCACCACGAGAGCAGATTTTTTTTTCTTTCACTATCTTGTTACACCCACGTGAGCATAATGAAAACACACTATAATTAAAGGACACAGAATTACTGTATGCTGCTTATAGGATTTTTATTTAGGCGAACACACAGGTTAATAGATTGGAGGGAGGGCCACTGTAAAATCGGGAATTAGGCATTTTCCATAGCTGGTGAGTCCAATCGACGTTATGGGCTTTCCATGGCTTTCCGAGTCATTGTGTCTGAAGCTGTATTTGCTGATGTAGGAGCTGCCTGTCTATCTAAGCCATTTCCTTGCTCCATTAGTTCTTATGCATGTGTGTGAGTGTGTGGATTATTGTGTTTGTGCCTGTTTGTGTTAAGGCAGGTTTAACACCCCAGCTATTTGCGATCTCACCTTACATCAGCACTTTATCGACAAGGGAAAAGCTTTAGGTGATTAAGAGCAGCAGTGATGAATGCAGAGAGGGGAAGATCAAATCTATTGTGATGCATAAATAATTACATCTGAAACTTATTTAGCTGTCACAGACTGCCAGTACTGTGTCAAAATCCTAAATTATGAACGGCGATCAAAACCATATCGTAGCTTGTAGTTCATCACTGTGTAAATAGAAGCCACATTTCAGCAGAGGGCAGCACACAGAAATCACGGCACAGGATAGAACAGAGTTGAAAATATGAAGCAAAAACAATAAGAAAGCAACACTCGGAGACAAGATCTCAAAGAAAGAAAAGGAGGAGGAGGGGAGGCGAAGGAGGAGACAAGAGTTATAAATGAAGAACAGAGAGAGAGGGAGGAGGAGGAGGAGGAGTGCGGCTTTGCAGTCATTAATTAGCCCGTTAGCTAGGGCCCAGGCGGTGCGGTTAGGGCCTGTGCCTTTGTGGGCCTGAAGGAAATGGGCCACATATGAGAGCCATTATAGGAACCGACTTAACAAAGACACATGCCTGTCAGCCACCAGGCTGGGCTGGGCCACTCTGCCCACGGCACACAAAGAGCCCGCCACCACTGTTTGTGTGTCTGTGTTTGTGTGTTGGTGTGAGCACGCGCACATGTGAGTGTGTGTGCGTGTGTGAGTTTTTGCACATGTGTGTATGTGCACATGTATGTATGTTTGACTGTGTATGTCCTAATGTAGATAATTTGATATCAAATGGCTATAATATTGTTATTGCGTAAGTACCATGTGTGAGTTGTTATGCACATGCAGGCATTTTATCTAATAACATCTGCTGTGTAACAGATTTCTTCATACTTGTGTATATGTACATGACTCGGCGTGTGCAACCATATCAGAATGGGGCCTTCGGAAACGTTTCTTTAACCCGTGGACATCCCCCGCTGGCCCTCCACACCATTTAAAACCACATGACAGGAAACCTGGGTCACTTTGAACTATGCTCCCCCACCACACTAGCTGACAAACACGCTGACACCATCCTGAAACAGAAGCCAGAGAAGCAACAACAAGTTGCAGAAATGGAAGAGGGGAAAAAAGCAGTGGAAAACAGCTCCCACTGACTTTTCATTGTCTTCCATTCAGAAACCAGATACACATAAGTCACAGTTTTTCACAAGTCAGCGCTGATCTATAAAACTTTCAGAATCTATTAGGCGTCCAAAAAATAAATGCTAATTAATGACTGATGGTTGGTTGGATGAAGCAATAGATAGCATGAGCTGTTTGAAAGTAAACCCCATGCAGTTTCAACTTTTGCACTTTTCTAGCAGAAACTTTGTTTAGTTTCCTTATTTTTTCCATCTGGACGGCATCTAGTGTTTCAAATTAAGATATGAACAACAACTGGCACTTCTAAAAAGTGGTTTTACCACACTGAGCCCTATTCTTTCAGCTGAAACAGTAGCATTTGGTCAGCTCCTCAGAGTATTGGCCTGAGAGGAGCTCAGGTCTGGATTTGATAAGTGGAAACAGACCAGTGCACCGCCGCCTGTGTGTTTGAGGCCAACACACATCCGACACAGCGTAAACAGCCCGTACCCCAGTGACTAAACCCTGGAGCTTAGCCATAATAATTCTAACTCTCTGTACAGTAGATGCACCATGTGCTGCTTTCTGCGCTTGGTTTGTTTGCTGACAAATGCTATTGCCTTAAAGATAACTTAAATAACAATAAGATGCAGCACAATTTTTTCAGTGAAAACAAATGGGTTTTTTTGTTGCATTCATTTTTGTATATTTATGAAACAGCAGATTGCAGTAATTCTGGCCTTTTCAAATTCAATTCAACAAAGAAAATAAAAGTGAAATACACATTATGCCCTTTACAACAGATGGTTGCAAAGCTCCACATGATAACACTCTGCTCTCAAGAGTAGGGCTGCCACGATTAGTCGACTAGTCACGATTATGTCGACTATTAAAATCGTCGACGACTAATTTAATAGTCGACGCATCGTTTGAAGCTTTGTAAGATCACAAAGGACGCAGGAATGAGTAGTAGGATTTAAGAGTGTAATAACGGACTGAAACAGAAGATGGCAGCACTGCATGAACAAGGATGCCAGCTGCCGTTAAACCCCGAAGAAGAAGAAGCTGTGTCCCAGAATTCATAGCGCAGCCCAGCGCAGTTGTCAACAATGGCGGCAGCTAGTTAGTTTTAACTTTACTCTTATTATTCTTTCTGGGTCACAAAATAAACGTTTAACATATTTTCAGGCGAGAATGTAGCTGTGTAAACCTCAAATATCTGCTCAGTTTATCAAGACACCACATATTTTCAAAAGCGCTCCGACGTTTTCGGAGACGTCTGTCTCTAGCTCGTTAGCTAGGCGGGGGCAAGGCTAACTAGAGCCGTGAGAACACCGGACTCCCGGCAAATCGTTTTCAAACCCACCGCCGTCTTTCGCTAGTCAGGTTAAACATATATATAAGTCACTTAGATAACTTAAAAATGTTATTGTTTGGCTTTCTTTAGTATTTTATTTGTTCCTGAGTAAATCGGTTTGGCTGAGATTAAAGTTATAGTTTTTGCACAGCTAAAACTGTCAAGCAGACAGCTGATTATCAGAAGTGTGAGACGCTGGAGAATATACTCCGGTGTCCTGTTATATTTTAGAAAGCAAGGAGTTTATTAAACTTCACCGAAACAATCTGCAAATTTCATTAAAAATTAATAAACTACCATCTTGTCTTTATTTTTAGTTAGCACAAACACTTCAAGCTGTAAGCTAATGATAGTTATATAAGACCAGATGCTGCTGGTGCAATAAGCTGTACACTGTACGTCCAATGGATGATGATCTGATTAGTCGACTAATCGCAAAAATAATCGGTGACTAGTCGACTATCAAAATAATCGTTTGTGGCAGCCCTACTCAAGAGCCATCTTCTGCATATCTCTTCATTCAAAAAAACAAACAAACATGACACAGTATCCATGCTTCACAGTGTGGAACAGGATCAGAGTAGGAGCTGTTTTTTATGGTCTCACTCTCCCTTGGGGCTAAGAAGGCTAATGAAGTCCAATCCGAGCTTTATTAAGATCCAAGGGTGAGGCCTCATAATAAAAAGATGAAGAAGAAGACGAGCAGGGGGGAAAGTAAACCCTCATTAACTATATCACACCTCAGGAGAGTAGGGAGATCCAAAGCTTGGGACCAACAGGGGGTCAAAAGTAGCACGGGATGGATGGATGGCAGAGGATTCAGATTGTGAGCCAACCACTTAAAAAAAATAAACCTGTTAAATTCCCATGTGAGAGTCAGCCATGCTGAGCAAATTGATCAGCATTTGGTGCACAGCTGGTGGTAATTTCTTGGTGGGTATGTAGGTAAACAGTGAACACTTCACAAATCTCAGTGCATCAGATGGCTCACTGAAACAGATGTAGGAATAAGAGGAGAAGGAGAAAACTGAAAAACTGAACAAGAAGCAGAAGCCAGAAAAGTGAGTTCACACATCTCCCTGCAGGTTTCTGTACACGCTCCACAGATGTTTATCCATTTATGTGCTTAATGGTTAAAAAACGTTACAGTTATCAGGAAATGCTGCAGAGAAAGAGAAAAGAGGAAGAGGATAAGCCTTGAGCACCTTTGGGTATCAATTGCTGAGTAATCAATGCAACAGTGAATGATCCAGCTATAACCAGGGCAATCACTGAGTCACCACTGTGTGTTTTATGTGTGTGTCTGAAGGCTTTTGGTGCTGCTTTCTTAACAGCAGGCAGAGCACAAAAGTAAAGGCCATGACCTCTTGTATTATTTCCGCTTTCCAATTCCACATGATAAGATGATCACGGAACTGCTTGGATAGACAATAATTAGATCATCTGCACAAAGGACAAAAGATAAGAAGTTCTTGGCATCCTCACAGAGATGGACAAGAAACAAAACAAGAGGAGTCTGCAGAGGGCAGGAGGAGTAAACGCAAAGAAAGGCCAAGACTGAAAAAAGGAAGTGTGTGTGTCTGGTTGTATATACGTAGATGTTTAAAGTGTGTTTGGCTACTAACCTGGATCTGTTGCTGAAGAATGTTTATCTTGTGCTGCTGCTGCAACAGCTGCTGCTGCTGTCTGGCAATCTGCACACACACACACACACACACACACACACACAGAGCGGAAGAGTGAACATGATGATAAGAGAAGAAGGATAATCTGTATTTCTGTACCGTGTTCATGTTTCTAAAATATTAAAGAACAAACAGTATGCATACAGTGTGTGTGTGTGTGTGTGTGTGTGTTTTAATTGGAAATGAAAGAAAAACAATACAGGAAAATGTCCATAAATGGCTTGTCAGAAATGGTATGTTGCTCTTAGAAGTCATGGAAGTAAAAAATAAAAAATACAAGGGTTCAAGATGATGATGATGAAAAATGAATCCAAATCTCTTCCCTTTTATGTTATATCATGTTGGTTTACACCGTCTTCTCGTGCCATTTTACATTTTAAGGTAAGTGCCTTACAATACTAAAAGGCAAAATTGTCATCTGGTACTCAAGATGATGATGAGGATGTATCTGTCCTCGACAGGTGGCAGACAAAGTGATTTGCTCTTGAAAACTCTCAGTGAGGTCAATCATGTCTCAAATGCAGTACAGTAAATCAAAATCAGGTAGAGAGACTCTGAGTTATGTGTCAGTTTGACCTCAGATTATTATCTCTAAAAAGCCTCGGCTGGTGTGATGGATGGTGCATCCAATCCAAGCAATTAGCAGTGCAGAAGGTTTATGAACAATTCTCTTAACTGACACTGAATCTGTGAGATTGGCATGTTTACTACATCAGCCAACAACACCCAATGTGCCTGTGGAAGCCTCCCCCCTCCCACACACACACACGCATAAACAGGAGGGGTGATAATTTTCTCTGTTGTTGTTTTGATGTAAAATTCTCTAATGAAAAACATTCAATGTCAGATGTTAAAAGGCCAAGCATCATCTAGTGATTGACATCTGGGAGCGGCCACTCGTGAGAGGTTAAAGTCCTAAAAGGGACAGTACGTCCTCGACGTGATCCCGCCCATTCTGAACCAGAAAAGTAAAACAGCTGCCCCTCTTTTTCTTTTCCTTGAGAAGTCGTTTAGTATATTTATTCCGAAATGTAATTACAGGCTGCTGAATGGGAGGCGGCGCCCCATTTGCACACATGTCATATTTCATTAAAGGCAGATTTCTCGGGTTTGTCTGTAGGGCATTATCCTATCAAGTCTCAACAGCCAAATGACTGGCTGATATTGGAATCTGTCTTTCTCTTTGCGCTCTCCACTTTGCCTGTTTCCTTTGTAAAGCTGTGAAAGGTGGAATGTGTTGTGATGGGAGGTGTGGACTTGTCCAAACAGAGCCTGTCATATGCCAACCTACAGTAACGTGTCGGCAAACAGTAAAAACAAAGAGCAGCTCACCTAAACACTTCTCTTCGTAGGCTCTCGCTTTCTTTCTCTGTCACACAATGTTTTCGTTTTTTTTTTTTAAATTGCCGTCTGGCACCCTAAGAGACGCTTTTGTTACAAGTTTTGAAGGTGCAGTCAAAAGACATACAGATACATCTACACGCGTTTTGTTAGGGACATTTTGTTTTTCCTTTACAAGTTGGGTCTCCTTTGTGGCCATTATGTCAGTTATGATAACATTTTTACAATGCGACTTTGGAAAAAAGAAAAGCTTTGGAATTCGAGGAATTACAGCAAAAAATTACTAACTTGTTACTGGAAAATTATTAAATATCTGGGGGTTTTGTGTCGGATATTGTACACTTTCATAGGTTTAGGACCTTCACATTCAATAGATCAAACAGTTTAAGAGGAAGGCATTCACAAGAAGACAATGCTTTGTGTTAAGTCCTGTTGGCTTTCTAACCTCTGTAATTTGAAGTGTATCCAATAGTTGCTATAGGTTAATGTAACCTGGTAAAGTTTAACATTTGTATTTAGTTATATGTGCTGTTTGCCCTGTTGGACTAATTTTCTGTTATTTTTAATAATGATAACCTCAAATTTCAGTATTTAGTTGAATGAACAAAATAATATAATACCTGAAAGGAATCAACAAAAAGGAATTGCAGAATATTAAAAATGAACTGTTGACAGTTTAAAGCCCTGCCAATCATATACTCAATTTTGTATTTATTTATGTATGTCTTTATTTATTGATTGATATTTTTCATTTAGTCATTAGTTTGCTTCTAAATATGATGTATGCACAACCAGGGCTGTATCCAATTTCTTTTTTTTAAAAATGGGGTGGGGGGGACATTAAAGAGACACATCTCTTTAATGTTCCAGCTGTGGATCATTTTAATTAATTATATATTGCTTACTACAAAGTGCATTAAGTATGTGGAAATACTTAAGTACATTAGAATACTTGAGTAAGTGTTCTGGGGCCCTGGTGAAACTCCACCCCCACCCCCCTTCTAGATGCACCCCTGCATAAACACACAGGAATGAACTATGTGCGATTCATATCACCAAACCCTATTCATTATCCTGCACATAGACCAACACATGTACACTATTAATATTAATGTCTTTTTCTTCTTTCTTTTTACCCAACTCTCATTGTACAGCCCCAAACACATCCACGGACCCTTCCTACCTGCTCCTGCTGCTGCCTGGCCAGCTCCATCTGTTGTCTCTGCTTCTCCAGCTGCGAGGCGGCCATCTTTTTTTGCTCATCATGGGCGGCAAGAAGCTGCTCCCTCAGGCTGATCAACTGACCGATCATGGTGGAAAGCTGGCGCTCCTTCTCTTCCAGCGACTCTGGCGTACCTGGGCATGAAATTAGCAAGAGTAGCAATTCAAAGTTGATAGCACTGCAAACTGGCTGGATGTTCATAAGAGGTGTTCAGATCCTGCTCAGCTGAGGCAGAAAAATTAATACAAAATCTCAAGTGATCAGTTAATATAAAAAAGACTGGGAGGAAATTTAACGAGTACAAAACAACTCATGAAGGTCATGACAATGTTTCATGTAGTTCTAACCAAAGAGCCATGACTGAAAATAAGTTTTCTTCTCTGGCTGAAAGCACCTTGAACATTTTTCATTTATACAAAATGTCCAAACCTAAGCATAGCCTACCCTCAATCACTCAGCCGTTGTTTGGCTAACACAAGCCCTTTGCAAACTCTCATTCCTAAAACTCCTGCAAATTAGCAGGCTTGCAGTTATATCTTACTACTTATTATCTTCTATCTTGTCACTGCATGCCACCACTTAGCATCTGCTCCTGAGAACAATTAAATTACTTTGACTTAACCTTTTTAAAATAAGTAGCTGTTACAGCCCTTTGTCGGGTTTATGAGTTTGATACTCATGGGAGGTTTTTCGGGCATACTCCAATGAGAATGCTTTTTGTTTTCCACATTCCTCAGATCTTTTTTTAAACAAAAGAAACTGATGGTTTGAACTTTTATCTTAGAACCACATGAATGAAGCAAACAAAATCCACTTTTAATTTTTCACTGGCATTTCCTCATGTGCTTTATTTTCAAAATCCTGATAAGTTATGTAAAAAAAAAAATCACATTGATCAACTGACCTACTGTCTGTTTACCAGTTTATTGGATGCTATAACTGCTTCTTCTTCTTTTTCTTTTTTATACATAAGTATAAGTTTCTTTATAACTGCTGGCATATTTTAAACCTTTTTCCAAACTTTGGAACACCCTGTCCTCCACTTCAAAGTTTGTCTGACTTTCAACTCTACTTTTAACCTACTGCTTATGACACCAAGCTCTCATGCGGTTCCCAGTCTTTCACAGTACCTCAAAAACTAGCAAGAGTTTCTCAAGGAGCAACACAAAACAATCCCTCTCAGAAATCCCATTAATAACATCTTTGGGGTGACATTAATAGAAAAAAGGATGGGTACATACAATTTGTCTTTAGTTGGTTGGGCTCTATTTGTAGGGAGTTGCCACAAGCACAAAGAGTGTTTAAACCATCTCCAAGAATTTGTTCTATGGGAGAGACAGACTTCTTGAAGATTTAATTAGGGAAAAACAGGCAAATTTGACTTCACTCTAGGAAATAACAGGAAGTAACTAGAGTGAAGCATAAACTAAAGCACAACCACACTGAAGTATATCTTGTTTATATCTTGTTTAGAAGTTCTTGCTCTTGTGTGTGTGTGTGTGTGTGTGTGTGTGTGTAAGGTCTTGCCCTGGGGCCATGTAGGGATATTGCAGGGTGGCCCCAACACTACCTGCATACTAACAGAGTCTTCATTGTAGTCCTGTCAGGCCCCTATTGTACCACAGACTGCCCCCCAACACACACACACACACACACACACACACAGAAATTACCCCTCAGCACCCCTGTATCAAAGGCAACATTCTCCTCTTCTTGTCTCTTTTCTTCATGCTTTCATTCTGTCCATTTTTTCTATTTTTTCGGGTTTCCCCCAAAAGACCTTCCCATCAGTTACTCCGCTTCCAAGTCCTGATCCTCCCTATGGTGTATTCTCGCCACTCATCATTTTCCTCTTGTTTCTTTTCATTGTTTTCTTTTCCCACCTTTTTTTTCAGTCTTCTCCTCTTACGTTATCACACCTCCTCCTACCATCAGCTCCACCCTCCTTTTATCCCCTCTTCTCTTTTTCCAACTCTCTTGTTGCATCCTGCTCCTTTCTCGCCAGCTTCCTAATTCTTATTCTCCTCCCCTCTTTTCTCATCAGATCCCTGACTTTTTTTCCTCTCTTTATCTCATTCCTCACAGCATTTCTGTTGTTATCACCACTTTTCTCCACCTTTCTTTAAAGTTTATTTTTCCCTTTTCACCCTTCACCAAGAATCTCTGGCGATTCAGTCTGGCAACACTGATAGGTACTTTATAATCTTGTCATGTCTTCAAACTTACACGCTTAACACAGATTCCTTCCTATTCCCTGGCATTCTTTACAGTCAAGTACAGCTTATTGTGTAACAGCAACAACTGCGATTACAGCTCCATGATTCATGTGGATTACGGGTTGTGCATTCCACACGCAACGCCTTGCGTTCCTCCAACACTTCTGGCACCGATAATCATCTCAGATGTTTCCGTTTTCCATCCATCAGGATTATTCCTGACACCTGCCGAGGGGTCCAGCCAAAACAGAAAGCCATTAACTGTTTTCTCACTATGTTTAGATGATTGGGATGATGTGTTGATGAACCAGAACTCTCTTACTTCTGTATGAGGTGTCTGTTAATCGCTTACGTGATGTTTTCATTCACTGGAATCGCATCCCAAGCTTCAAGATTTCATCTGATTATCATATGATGTTTCATTACATCACAATAAATATGAAGGCACTGCTACATCAGAACATGCGCAAATAACTATTCAGCTGAATAAAATTCTTTCTTTTATTATTATATATTCAGTAATATAACGGCTGTCTGTGAATCCCCAAACCATATGACACAGTTATGTCTCAGGCCACTTTTTTAAACACACAAATGCACCAACAAACACATTTGAACACAAAAGCCACACATAAAAATACACACAAACCATCACCCACTCACAGGCTCACACCTCTGACTAACATATTGATGTCTCTGACTGTGCTGAGCTTCTGCCAAACCATCATGTTTTACCACGGGATCTATGTGCCAGACTCCCAACGTTGCTCTCTACAAGACTAAACAGTCTCCTCAAACTTACACCACAACAAACACTCTGACTCTTGACCCCAAGACAAACACAGTCACTCCATGTTGTCCAGAGACGTGCTCGTGCTCTCTGCAAGCCAGCGGTGTGTAAAGATCGCACATCCAGTCTGCCAAATTTCAAGGTTTATTGTAGACAAACAGCTCGCTTTTCCAGACAGACGGTTGCATATGAAATAAAGGAAAAAAAGAATGAAATTGCAATGTGAGAAAGATGCCTTATTTAACTGACTGCTGAATTTGAGTGTGATTATTGCTGCCAGATGTGCCTGCTCATGCATCTGACAGTAGAATCAGACACTTTCCATCCATCTGTTAATATGAGCTCTCTGACTTTGCAGGAAAAAAAAACATGGAAATGTCAAAACCAGGAATCCTAAGAATACCCAAATGTCAAAAAATAGAGACGAGGTAAAGCTGGAAAAGAAAAAAAGATGAAAATGTCCACATACATATCCCCATTGCAAACAGCTAATTCATCATCTGAAACTTTGGTGACACTGCTGAGCTGAGAGGTGTCCAGGTTTTATTCTTTTTCCATTGCAGTTATTTTCTAGCCAGCATCTTCTTAATTTGTTGTAGTGTAGTCTCATGAAGGTTAACAATATATAAAAGAAATAAAATCCTTCTTCTCATTTTAATTGATCATGTTTTGATAATAGTGTAAATCATAACTGCTGTATTCAAGGCAACGACAATTACAGGAGAAAATCTTTTTTTTAAAAATCCTTCAAAATAAATCGTTACAGTTTTATAATTTTTCAGAGTTGCACAAGATTCGCTAGCATCATCTAAAAGAATTGCACAGCTCTGCTTGATCCGTTCATCTTTTGTCTCTTTTTCTATTAAAAACGAATTAAAAGCAAAGCTATAGGTTGTAAATGCGGAAAAATACCAGTGAACTGCTGCCCTCTGTGACTAAAACAACATTTTTTTGTGATAGGAAGAAGAATAAGAAATTGGAGAAGAGTTGTATTTAAAGCTTAGTGCTAGAATATTATTAAGGAGGATATCAGGACACGGTAATGAAGAGCAACTAAGAGCAAATAATTAGAAGAAATGTCACGCACCTCCTTCTAGAGCTTCATAGTGTTTATATATTAATCCTGGGCACATTCCCAGTTGTTTTGCTGTGAGTCGTGGTGTAGTGTAGCTAAAAAGTATTTACTCACACATAAACATAAATATATTGTACACAGGCAAACTGAAGCCATACCTGACCGGTAATGAACATTCCAGTAAATAAAAGGAGGTCAATGGGCTTTTTTTACCCTAAAAATAACTGCGACTGAACAAATAGGTCCAGGTCGCTGTGTGAGGAGACACAGAGCAACAGTTGTGTTTGCGTATTTAGGTCAGCCAGACCAGGCTTCTTTTCAACCATCGAGAAATAAAACGCTTGAATTCAGCGAGAGTATTTTCTTTAGTGAGGACACAGCTGGATGAACAGAGACATCTGTGTGCCGTGTTTGTGTGATCATTTGTGTGCGTGCGTGCTGGCACATGCTATATTTATTGGTGTCTTCAACTAACACATAAGAATTGAGTCCAACTTTGTGGATTAGACAAGCATACTCTTGTCTTGTCTCCACTGAAGTGCTATCAAATATTTAAAGAGATGGTAAAGGAGGGTTTCTATCACAGAAATGACCGAAATAACTTTTAAAAGTCACCAAAACTGAATTGCATGAAACACAGATCCATAAAGCTTTTATTTGTCATTATAAGATTAACTTGTATTTTTCAAACATAGAGCATCTTGTAAATTGTTAACCTTTATTGGGTGGGATTACTGTTGGCCATCAGTATCATGACAATAGATTGCACACTAGTGTCTTTCTTCCCCAGGAAAACGTATTTGTATGTTGTGTCCGCTCCAACAAACAAACTAAAAAAAAAAAAAGTTTAATCCAAATCTATCAAATAGGTGTAAAGTAGTGATATAAAGCACTGTGCTTTTAAAAAAGAGTAAATTTATTGAGGAACACACAAGCACTTTAATTGAGGCTACTGAATGATCAGTTAAATGCTATTTAACTGTTATTCTTCAAGTTACAAGAAACTTTTCCTAATCATCAAAAGTGTAATAATGCTGTCATGACTCCAGATGGATATCAGATATATACTTATTTAAAGCAAATGAAAAAAAAATATGTCAGCTAACGTTCTGCTAGTTCATGCAGTATTAGACAATTAGAATATTTGCATACATCTTTATCCTAATAATAATATTTCCTCCTCTGTGTCATAAAAAAATTCCATCTGAATGCTGCTTTTCATGCAGAAATATAGTCACTTTCAAAGAGGCCGAGATGCTTCTGCATATCCTTTACCAGAAAAGTGGTACGTTTAATAGATTAAGACACATGTGACAGGCACTAAATCTGCAAAGCACATCAAAACAAGTGGAGCATGAGAGGCTTAAATCTGAGCAGGAACGTGCCCTTGAAAATACTTTTTTGTACCTTTTGTAGCTGTCAAAAATGTTTAAATTTAATTAAAATGAACTGATTTATTCATTTTTTATTCCTAATTTAAGTTTTCTATCCTGTGTGTCTCCTCACACAATGACCTGAACCTATTTGATATGGCAACAATGGGACTGATAGTAATACCAATAAAAAAGTAAGTAACAAATATTCATAAAAAGGTTGATTAAGAAAGGTGAAAAGAATCGCTAAATGCTGATTGGCCTTGGACTTGGACTTTGGTTTGAGATTAAAAAAATTGGAAAATCTGTGCAGACAAGAGTGCGTATGTAACTTTCAATTAACAACCTTTTTATATAAGAAAGATAAAAGCATTTGAGGGAAGCAGAGCACGACTTTTGGCTTCTTCTTATAATTTCTCATTTTAAGCAATCAAAGAGGACAGCTGTTTTTGTCTTCATGTACAAAATGTGCCACACTATAGCAACTACACTGTGATTGAATTGAATGTCTCATTTTAATATTTCACAGTGAAAACAGAAAGAATCCAAAGATAAAGATCATTTCTACTGATGGAAATTACCTTCACTTCACTCTTACTTGAATTTCATCTTACTTGCTTCTTCTAGTTTGAATAACTTTACTGTATCCCTGCACTTATCTGACACAAGAGCACTCTCAATGAGTTGTGTAACCTATGCTAAATTATTACTATGCAAAGGGTGATTAAGGGTGTTTATTTTATCTGAATAAGAAGGGTGCTTGTGTAGATGGAGGTAGTCGGTATGACGACAGAGAAAAAGCGTCTGATATGTGTCCTACAATAAAAGTCAATGTCTGTTCTGCTGAAGAAGGTTCTCTGTAGTCCCCTTTTCCACTTTCCACAGAGGAAATACTTGCCATTTCAGCCGGAGACGATCACAAACGGTTCCTCTCACTGAAGGCAGCTCGACTGCTCTGCCGTTAACAACTTGCGTTACGGCACACAAACAGAAAATGCTGTAGCCCTCGAGACAGAAAGCATTTCCCTGTCTTAATATATCAGTTTTTAAAAGTCATTTGTTTTTCTACCTCATTCTATTTTTATTATTTAACTACCATAAGCACATTTTAGAAATTTAAGAAAGCAATCTTTCCTCTTATGTGTGAGTAGTTTAGTCAGACGCGGTCACACACACACACACACACACACACACACACACACACACACACACACACACACACACACACACACACACACACACACACA